GGATATGAAAAAATCCTGGGGGAGGATAGAGTAAGCATCAAACCCATTTAATTTTTATTGTACTATTAACGTTTCCCATGTGTCTTCGGCCCAGCATGCCTTCTCATATACGTAACCTCCTAGTGTTCCAAAGGTAAATCATGACCTCTTAAAAACTTGCCTGATGCTAAATGTCAAATATGAAAATATGAAACCCCATATTCAGCAGGAGGGATGTAGGGTATGCTAACACTGTGGCATACTTCTTTTGCACGAGTCTGTTGACTTTTTCGGTAAGATTTTATTGTTCCCTAAAGAGATTTCTCCAACTATTTCTGCATGAGTCATTATTCTCATGTATTTGTGCTGCCTGGCGACTGGAAAGAGCCAAGTCCACAGAAGGGACACACACACACACACACAAATGCAACAGGCAGATGATAATTCTCCTGCACCTTTTCAATGAAAACAGCTGGTATCCAGTCATAAGAAAAGTGCTACTGTTTTACCTGCTGTCACCAGAACATCCTGTTGGGAAGACAATTGGAAGGAGACAAGACCAGAGAAGTTAGTCATTGAAAGATACTGTGGGCAGCCTCCTCTGTGGGCTCACAAGTCTTGCTTTACAGTTATTATTCTTAATTTATCTGTATCCCACCTTTCTCCCAAGATACGGGGGGGGGGGGACATACAGTAAGTTATATTATTTTAATACATTTGTATTGAATACATTTATTTCTCCTGGCTCACTAGCAATCATCCCACTTAACACATCATTTGAGAATTATGAGGGCCAGCATGGTGTAGTAGTTTGAGTGCTGGACTAACGTTCTAGGAGACCAGGGTTCAAATCCTCTGTGTCTAACTATGGCCTGCCCCATGCATCAGGGAAGACATGAAAACAATGCTTTTCCCACAATATTTGGAATTCAGATGTGGTTGCTCACAGGTGAGGATGTCTACACTGCCCCTGAAGGGTTGGCTTTTCCAGCCATGGCTTCCCTCCCCATTACTGAGGGTATTAATTCTGCCACTTTTCTGTGTTGGGTGTGACTGGATCGGGGTAGGCAACCTTTCCCCTTTAAGGGCCGAGGGACTTCAGCTCCCAGAATCCCAGGAGCTATTGGCCAACATGGGACTATTGGCCAACATGGCTGAGGCGTCTGGGAGCTGAAGTCCCTCGGCCCTTAAAGGGGAAAGGTTGCCTACCCCTGGGTTACTATAAGATGAAAACAACTTGAAGGCACATAGAAACAAGAACAACTCTTGTACAGGAAGGCCTTTCCATCACGACAGAAGCCCATGGGAATGGCTTCAGGCTGGGCATGTCTCTTCTTATGATGACCTCAGAGGTGTACAGACTGTTATTACATGTACACAGTGCTACAAGGCTGGCAGAGACAGAGGCCTTCCTGACCTCTTGTAATCATTGCAAACAGAATGCTGGCCATGATGGCTCTTGGTATCTTCCAGCAAGGAGGCAGTTCTTATATTTGTAAGACTGAAAGACACGTTTTTTTTGAAAATGTAATTTACTGCTCACCCGTCTATTGGAAAGTTTTCCTGCCCAAGCCCAGGCAGGATTAATGGGAGTTGCATACCAGCGCAATGGAATTCTTGCCTGTCTCCCATTCATATCAAATGAACTATCAAGAACTTGGAGCCAAGGATGGGAAAATACTTGGGGGAGGCCAGTAGGTCCTGGAAAATATTACACACACACACACACACACACACACACACACACACAGAGTATGAACTTAATAGGGTCCCTAAATAGCAATGTCAAGACCTGCTATTTCCCCCAGGAATTCAGTGAACAAGTCTTCTGTGTTGCAAACAATAAAAACTTTATTCCACAAATTAACAGGAAAGCATCTCCAGACAGAAGTAGCACATTCCCCAACAATGGCATAAAATTAGCAATGTCCCACCCCATTTTTTTTTCAGGCTTCATCTTAATATGCCAACTACTTAAAACATACCAACCCTTTCTCCCATGCCCTCTTTACTCGCTCAGCCCGCTGTCTCAGCCTGTTCTCATCTCTACTTTCTGTTTCCCACCAACAGACTCTGAGAAGTTTCCTCCTCCACACATCTCCACATTCCTGCGTCAGGCCGCAAGCATTATTTTGAGCCACCTCCAAGTACTATGCCTCTCATCACTCTCATCATTTCCCATAAACTGTAACATCCACACAACTCTTTTATGTACCTCAAACATGAAACATACTATACAGCCCACCCACCCCAATCTCAGGCTTGCCATCCATGGATTTGAGCATCCGTGGAAAGCAAGCCCCATTGGCCCTAATGGTGGCACATGCACACGGCCATGGCAGTGCGGCTGTGCACATGCATGGTTATTAAAAACTATGGGACTTGAGGTCCCGTGGTTTTTGGCATCTGCGGGGAGGTCTAGAACAGAATCTCTGCAGATACCAAGGGGCAACTGTATATTACAAAAACCACAGCAACAATGATATGTCAGAATATATCACATTCTGACATGCAAGCTGTCCAAAAATCAGGAGCATAGGAGATCTGTAGCTCAGCGGTTAAGATGCTTACTCTAACAACTGCAAGATCAGCAGGTTGGCAGGTTGAGGCCCAAGTGCCACAGGATGGAGTGAGCTCCCATCACTAGTCCCAGCTTCTGCCAACCTAGCAGTTCAAAAGCATATAAAAGTACAAGTAGATAAATAGGTACCACTTTGGTGGGAAGGTAACAGCATTCTGTGCAGTCATGTTGGCCACATGACCAACAGAGTCATTTTTGATACAGTAATGGAGATGAGCACCACCCCTTACAGTCAGACACAACAAACTTGTCAAAGGGGAATACCTTTACCTTTACCTTTACCTTTAGGGGATCTTAGAACTCTGTATCAGGCAGTGGCATAAGGTTATTTCTGTAATATCACCTGTTTCCCAAGATCAGGAAGATTCTGGGCTGTTGTGGCAATGTCTTACTTTTAACTGCCTGCTGTTCTCCACTCCAATAAATATTTCTGGTGGCCCAGGGAATAGCAGAATACAACTTGTTTGATGGGACTAAATTCAATAGTTAAGCACCTGACATAGGTTTACCGAGCAGAGCTTCCCAAAGAATGATTCTTTTTGTTTTTCTGTACACGTTTATTGATAGCAACAGCTAAACAGATTTACCAAGCCCTTCACTCTGTAGATAGACTGCTTTGCCCTTTCTCCTGCAGTTCTTACTATGAGTCATGTCATTTAGATGACCGAGAATAAGTTAGAAAGCAGTATCTTGTTCACTGCATGCACCTCTTTTCCTGCCACTGGTACTTAATTCAGCTCATTATTAATCCACAGAGGTTCATAAGCATAGAGAGCACAGTGACTCATTCCTACCTGCCTGACCTCTATCACTGCTGACTTTAGTCTTTTATGGTACATTAAAATAGAAATAGATGAATATTATCAACAGCACAAAAGAAAACCAGGATCCAACTTCAGCAAAGGGGACCTGGATTCACAAGAGAGAACAACTATGAAGCCGCGCTGTTAGTGTACTGCTATCTATAATTGCCAAAATATCCTTGTGGTTGCAGAGGATGGGGTCCTTTCATGACAGTATTTGGTTCAACTGCGTATCAAATATGGAAATTCTGGGTCTGTATATTGGAGTCTGTGATGTTGAATGGCTATGCAGTGGTGGATGGAGGAAGAACAAGATGGCTTCACTTTCCCAGATTCCAGCAATGCTTTTTCCCATTTGTCCAGGCAGCTTGTCTGATCTGTGTATACACTCTTTTAGGGCAGATTTGGGCAACAGTTCACTCAGATGTATGCTTATTCCTTTGCTGCTTTGGGTTTCCAGCCTGTGATGATCTCTTTGTTTTTGGGATGAATTATGAGGATCCTGTGAACCAGAGTGGCCTAGTGGTTTGAGTGTTGGATCAAGACTTTGAAGGCCAGGGTTCGATTCCCAGCTAGGTCATGAAACTCACTGAGTGAAAAGGGGCAAGTGGGGCAAGTGGGCAAGTCACACTCCTTCAGCTGCAGAGGAAGGCAATGGCAAACCTTCTTTCAACAAATCTTGCCAAGAAAAGCCCATGATAGGTTCACCTTAGTTGGAAACGACTCCAAGGCACATAACAACAATGAGGCTCCTTCCTGACTGGCTCTGAGTACAGCTTTTCCTTGTCACCCTGATTGCACTGATTTCTTGATTCTTTCTTGATAAATTTGCTTTGCTTCATAGAACCTAATCAGAACCATTCACATGTGTATTATCGGACACTGGGTTCGTTTTCTTGGTATCATTTATCTCCCAACAGCTGATGGCTAGACAGTTGGTCAGAAAATGGTCAGAATTCGGCTAGTGTACTAGGTAGCAGGCTGTGGCAGGAGGAAACAGACCACAGGCACAGTGTCTGTGAGAAA